GTTCGGACAGGTTCGGGAAAATTCCGAAATGCCCGAACCCCGAACCGGACATGGGGTCCGGTTCAGGTCCGGTTCAGGTTCGGGATCGGTTCTGAACCCGACCCCGGGAACACTAAGTTGCCTCCATACAGATTGGTAAAGTATTGTAATGTCTTGTTTCTTCCCAGGAAATAGACGCCGGCGCGAATCGAAGGCATGTCTTGTCTAGAAATAAGCATGGGAGAACAACTGACCAAAAGCGGTGGGCGGCTCGGAGCCAATACTGAAGGAGAGATGGCGGCTGAGAAGAAGATGGCAAATCGAGGTGATGGCAAACATGCGCACACTGATACATCTGCTTGATACATGAGGTAAGATATCCCTTGATTCCGAAATCCCGAGGCATGTACTTCATTCGCGCTATGGCAGTGCTTGGTAGACAATCACAGGATCCCAGGGTGTCGCCGCGTAACCTAGAGAGGAATAACAAATGCTCTCTTGAGTCTCTTCATTCGAGGCCAGTGTCCATCTTACACCATGCAGAGACAACAGATATCCAACGCACGTTCAACAGATTGCATGATTGCAATTAGATTGACAGATTTTGGATTGGCGCCGTTTTCTTAGCGCTCGACCCGTCCTCATAGAGTCGCAGTCCTCAACAGAATTCATCTCAATGGATGGTACAGGACGGAATAGACGGAATACACATTTCGGGGACGGTTGCTGTTCACCGATGATTCTATGTGGCTCCGTTTTCCATTCCTATTTTCTTGGTGCCGACATAGCCTCCATTGCGCCGCGCACGTGCGACCATGCTACCTTTTCCCGTAAAGGCAGGCGTCCCGGAAAATCTCAAAAATAGAGCGATCGCTGCTGACTTGCACCGGTGATACACATCTACTCTTTATAACCCACCCTCACTCACCCTCCTACACTCTCTTCATGTCATCTCAGGCAATCGATACCGCAACCACTCAGCGAGTGCATTTACTCTGTGTGACTGTGGCAGACTTACAGCCTTCTACAGTTTCCTCCGGTTTCGTCTCCAATATTCCAGCCTCGGTGGGCATAATGAATGCTCTTTCCACACCCATGACGATTTCTTGATCCTCCGTATCAGCGCTACTCTACTATGACTATGCATTGACCTTCCCGAGCGAGGTGCAATACATATGGAAGCAGAAATTCCGCCTGTCGACAGCTCTTTACATTGGATGTCGGTATGCGCTGGTAGCGAACGTCCTGTATCTGCTGGCCATAGCAAATAAGCTTGGACACACGGTAGGCTCCATTGTTCTCTTGTGCCGCCGTTTATGAAGCGCTGCCCTGTCTCCAGTCCGTTCATAACCTCACTGTCTTGTCCAACAAACTAAAATATCCTTAGGTGCGATTTCTGGTACAAAATCGTGGGCGCTTTGAGTGTCCTTGGCCGCCTTTGCGTAATTGGTCTCAACATTTCAGTTTCCACCCATCCCGCTACTGACAATCTTTCGTACAGTCGTGTTTACCCTGAGAAGCTCCGCTGTTTACGGGAGAAGTAAATGGATTACTGCATACATGAGTGTTGTCGGGCTAGCATGTATCGCATTGGACATCGTCAGTCTTCCCCTTCCATTCTCCTTCCTTTCTGAAATATCTCTGGTGTGCAGACCCATGTACCAGGACTCCGGTGTTCGGGGTCTACCAATCTTCCCATGTACGTATAAACCTTGTTCTCTGACGTTGGAGGCTCCTATTGTATGCGTCTTATTCATTCATATAGCGGTGAGTTTTGAGGCGCTTACGCACCTGCAGTGCATTGAATCGGTTTCAGCACCGGAAATGTTGTCGATTTCAACGATCATCTTTGAGACTTCCTCTACGTTCTTTACCGCCATCCGGTGCATGCAAACTTTGCGCGCCATGAAGAAAGTAGAGCGCCAACGGTATAGTGTCGTGTCTATATTGTTGGAGCAAGGTGATCGCGCCTCATTCTTCTCACAATTTTCGTTTGCTAAAACCCCTCCCCTTCTCTAGGAATCTTGTTCTTCTGGTCAGTGTGCTGGGGCGCTGTGTCGAATTGGGCTGATTTTCCAGTAGTTCTATCTCAATCTTTACCGTTACCGGTGTGATCCTACAGTATGTGCGTGTGTCTTGGCATTGAATGTCGTTCATGGAACTAATTGATTATCCTAGCGAGCACCGGTTAGTTTGATAAAAACGCACTCTAAACCCCTTCTTATATTCTACGCAGCCAGGATTCTTCCAGCGTCTGCCCAATGCGTTTACACTTCCGTTCGTCCCATCTTTTACTCGATCCTATCACAACGACTGATTTGCTCTCTAAGGCTTTCCTGCACCCTCACTGCGCGGTTCATTCTACACCTCCGGAAATGGTATGCCGCGCAGCTCAACGACAGCAAAGATCGTGTGAAAAGCAACACCCTCATGTTCCAGGCGCAGAGTAGCTCGCATTCAGAGACGACGCTGACAGGTGTGGTCGCTATGGAGGATTTCGGCCCAGATCCTGTCGTCCTTGCGGCCGCGAATGGCACAAATCGCATGGAAATCCAATTGACACACGTCTTGCATAGAGTGAGGGAGAATGAAGGTGACGGTCATTGTGCTGCTGGTCAGCCGTGTCTAGCAAAGGCAAAGAGGGAGAATGAAATAGTATGATGAAGTGTAGCACTCATTACTACAGAATGCACACATATGCGGGCCATCCGCCATCGAGCCGATACCAAGCCTGAACTGTGCTCGAATATCTGTGAATACTTAAAGCGGTCTCGGACGACACCACATCATTGATCCTCCACCACCCGCGTAGAAGTGGGCCTGACTCACCACTGAGCAAAACTTGGATGGACCACGAGTTGAAATTATGAGTAGCGCCGGCTGGAAACGAAAAAATAAGGATGGACGATTTTCTAGACAAGGCTTGACCCCGAGTCGAACGGGAAATCCGGCAGTCTTTATGGACTTTGCTCAAACTTTGCTTGATCAGATCGCCCAGGTGCGGTCCCACCGCCATCGAGCCGATGTCGGCTCGAATGCTCCTCGAGTAAAAGTGTGGATGTTTCCGCGATATTTAGTCTCAGCGAGTCAGACGTCCTTGAATACAAGTCCCTCCAGCCAGTGGACTGAGTCCCTGGATCAATTCGAGGCAGACGTTCGCGAGCGAAGGGGACTGCTGGGTTTGAATAACGTATGTAGACAGCCAGGAGATCCAAGCAGTCCAGAGTTTGCCGGCCCAGACCGAGGGCATGCCACAGCGATAAAAAAGATATTAAATGTCTAGGCACGGCTCGACCTCGAATCGTAGACCAGTGACTGTCTGTCTATGGAGGCAAGCCTGTCGATAGACAGACCAGTCGATCTGAGTTTGAATTTCCAATGCAAATAAGTTACCAAAAAAGGTTATTCGCAGGACCTCCCGTACCTCATTAAAATTTTCGGTTGAAAGCTCAGAGCTACTCAGGATCGCTCCCTCATCACATGGCGCTTTATCCGAAGGCAAACGCTCGTGTTTTGCGTCCGCGGCGTCGATTTTCGTCAATGTTGTCGTTGTTTGGATCGACTCATGGCCGCTCGGAACCGTTGTGGACCTCGCGAGTATAATAAATCCCCCCCCCCGGTCCGGAATAACCTTTTTGGGCAATTTATTTGTATCGCAATTTTAAACTCAGATCAACCAGCCTGTCTATTGACAAGCTTGCTTTCATAGACAGGTTGGATTCGAGCCTACTCGAATTGAGTGTCGTTTGCATAAGTCCGTGAAAACACGAAAAAAAAAATAAATTGCGCGGTCACGTGCTTGAAGAGGACCTCCCGAGAAGATTTACAATAAGTATTACAGATAAAAAGCAGGTCGCACCGTTCTTTGGACATCGATCAATGTCCCAAATCAACATGCTGTTCCTACTGGAACACATGACATTGAACAATATAGCTGATGGACGGCCGGACGGGATATATTGATGTCCTGACATGACAAAAAACATTCAATTCATTCACTCTCTACATCTTAAGTATCCCCGAAGCATGGTGAGACCTGAGTAAATGGACACGTGACTGCCCATTTTTTTTTCGTGTTTTCACGGACTTACTATGCAAATGATTAGACTCGTGACCAGTCTGCCTATGAACTGCAACAATGTGGCGAGCACGTTGCCGTAGGCAGACTGGTACAATTCGGAAAAGTTGATTGGAGTGGGCGCGGAGTTTGAATTTCTTTCTGTGCCACGCCCTGGGCTCAAATCTTCATATTTCATTTGGGTCAAAGCTGAGGGGTTGGATCTCATAGCAATTTCTTACTTTTTGTCTCCTCAGAATTTTATTTTACGGCCCCAGGTTGCCATAGCATGGCCCCGAGTTTAATCGAGAAAGTGACTTTCCGGTCCGAGGGACCGGGAACCGGTGATCGGCAAGTCTTCGGCACCCCTGTAAAATTTCAAACTCAGGCCCAGCTCAATTAGGCTTTCCGAATTGTACCAGCCTGCCTACGGCAACTTGCTCACCACATTGTTGCAACTCGTAGGCAGGCTGGTAACGAGCCTAGCAAATGATAGTAATGCAACAGGAGGCTATGAAAGATCGAACCAGATGAGCCGACTTTCTTTCCTTCCTCATTTTCAGTCTTTTCTCATCCGTTCCGAGTAGACTCTGAGAAGGGCTGGCATGTAGAGAGGTCAGTACAAGTCGGTGGCGGAGGGTCCGCATCCGCTGTTCCTTCAATGTGATTGAACCGGTCTGCGGAAGACGCCTGTTCGATCCAGGCCCGACTCGTAACTACCCCCGCTTGTCTGTTTTATTTTAAAAATTTATTTTGTATTTATTCCTTGTACAAGGGTTTCCACAGCTATCTATTGGTTTACCTGAAGGCTCATGGATGGCAGATCGGCGTAGGATTTTCAGTGGAGACTCGCTGCCACTGCGACAGGGACAGACGAAGATACGTAGTGCATCGTGCCTGTGATAAATAGTGAGCATTAATATCAGGGCTTCAACTAATGGCCGACCGCATAGGCGTTTGTACTGACTCGGTGGCGGATGGACCGCGCCCGTAATCCATGAATAGCACAACAGTATGTGTAGTGGGAGGCGCTTGTTCGAATCAGGCCCGAGTCATAAAGCGGTGCAGAAATCGGTTTTTTTTCTGCCAGCTACCTCTCTGCCTTGGAATTGGAGCCCCGGGTATCACGATAGCAGGGCAAGCTTCCTGGCTCCCGTGGCACTTCTAGAGGGTGTGGCGGCCTAGGGTGGATAATGTACAAGTTTTGGAACCAGCCGGGAGGACGAGGTCGAACCTCGAGGTACATGAAGCCTCAAACTCGTCCACTGCCAAATAGAGAGCTTGCGCAAAAGCCGCACGAGCCGCACGCGGCTTTTGTGCATTGCGCAAAGCTGCGGGTCTTTCTTTGCTGTTTTTAATTCTTGTCTTGCTAAATACCATTCAATGCCCCTTAAATCCCATAGTCCACTCCTGAGAGTGCTATTTGTTGGATGTGCAACTGTGGGAGGCCGCATTTATCACGCATCACAAAGGCATCACTCGAGCTCCACTTTCTTTTCCCACACTCTCATGTCTGCCACGCAGCAGAGGCAATGCCGAGGATGTTCCCTCTCCCCACAGCACCTCTCCGTTGCCTCAGGTAAGCTTACATTGATTTACACCTCTCACATTTCAAATTTGCCGTGGGGCTTTGCGCAATGCAAAAATGCCGCATGCGGCTCGTGCGGCTTTTGCGCAAGCTCTCTAATATTCAGCATGCATATAAGCAGTAGAACTTAAGGCTGGATAAAATTACGGTTACATTCGATTATAATCCATTATAATCTTAGGATTACGATTAAATATCCTCTCCCCGTAATATTACAGCCTTAAAATTATAGTTGGTACATTACATTACAGTACCATTATATTACAATATGGGCCTCGTATTTAATCATAATATTAAGCAAGAAGTCGGTGAAACGGTGCACCTGAGTGCAGCCGTGAAATCAAATCGGACTAGATATCGAAGTGTAGCGAGATAACTCAACTAACACCAAAATCTAATACAATCTTATTCACAACCAATCTCAAATACTTCGTGTGTGTGTTCGGGGATGTAGGGTACGTATCACCCTTCAAGAGATCTCGGGTTCAAATTCAAAGTGTCTGTGAACGCAGAAGCTACGCTCTATCAATTCTAGGGGGTTGAGCACAGAAATGCAGCGGAGCCGTCCGGCAAAGATGGGGTGACTATTCCGAGCTTACAGCTTCAAGGAAATAAGTCTGTTCCGAGCTTACAGCTTCAAGGAAATAAGTCTATTCCGAGCTTACAGCTTCAAGGAATTTAACCGTAAGGATGAATACGATTGGGAGATGCTGGCTAAAACCAAGTCCCGAGCTTTCAGCTTCAAGGGATCAAGGAGTGCGAGACTGATACTAGATACTGCAGGCTACAAGCCAATTGGCGAGCACTTAGGCAGTTCAGTTATTCAGAGTCGGGGCGCTCAGGTAATCTCAATTCAAAAGTAATTCAATCCGCTTTATTTCAGTCTCGAGTCTACTCAAGAACCCACAATCGGGGGGGAGAGTGTACTACTCTACAAACGAATAATGCTACTGCTTTTATACTGCTACAGGAGTAAAAGGAGATAAATATTAAATGGGGTATTCATGGTTCTCTCAGTCAGCAGCACAGCCCACATCAGTCTGGGCGCGCCGATTCGGTGGTTTCTACACCTGTTTTGGAAGTACGGGGCCCTATTCGGAGCTATATTCGGACCCGCGCGGCGTTCCGTGTGTAAATTCGGGCAGAGTTCCCCGTCCATTCACACGCCATTCATTGGCAGGTACGAACTGTTTCAGTAGAACTTCGGCCGAAGCCCAGTTGGCCGCTCTTCTCTAATCTTATCTCTGGTTATCAAAATTCATTGTTCATATTCAATGGTCCTGGATCAACCAATGCTGGCGCACTTCTTGTTTCTTGTTAGACTTCAGTATTTCCTACTCCCTTGTTCACCTCAAGCACACTTCACCAGCGAGGTATTAACCAACGCTCGTGTTAGTGGGGTGCCTGGCAAGGCTCCAATCTCAACTCAGGCCCTGTCAAGGGCCATCGTGTAAGCTTGGAAGCATGTGTTTATGCCAGCTTTACGGCTCCTGCGGTGTAGTACACCATTCCGGGCAGAATGTGTACCCTCGGTTCAATCTTACTCGGGCAGTAAATGGTAAGTTGAAAATCGCGAAAATCACAATTTTCATGCGTGCTTGAATGCACGCCTTATCATCTCCCCCTTTCTGAGCTACTGACTGTCCCCAGTCACCTATTCTGAGGCCTGTAGGTACGAGTCCGCATCTCATGCGGTTATATCAACATGTGCAAGACCCCCATGTTGACAAGTCTAATTTTATCCTGTTTGTGCGCGGCAGTCATGTCGGACCCGGGCGTGTACTAATTCAGCGCACCACCGGTCTTGCTTCAATTCATTGCTCTCCGTCATGTCAACTCCAAACTTCCCCGAGCTCACTGATATGCTTGCAGTGCACAAGGTGAGTCAGATTTCTTGTCTGGGCGAAAGTAATCAACCATTTCCCAGCCAAAGTTTCCTTGCTCGAACTGTTCCGACCAAGACCATCCATGCACATTCTCCAGCTGGGCGGCGCCATGCGAGGAGTGTAAAATCGCCAATCACTCTCGGTGTTCCTTCACCAACTATTCCGAATGGGTCAAATTCGCTCGGTACGAGGATTATGCCATTATGAAACAACGGAGTGAGTTGCCATTTATTCTCATTAGCCTGGACTGGAACCATATTTTTCAGAGTCACAGAGAGACCTCAGTAACGTGGAAAAGATCCGCAGTTATTGGCATCTCTATCCATTTGTTGAAGCATTCTTTGAAGCAACTCGTGCCCCTCGGGAGGATTTCACCATTGTTGTTGATTCATCTCGCTGCACGGTAGAACTTCCTCTCGGGGAAAACTTGTTTCATTCTTATCAATAAATTCGGGCTCGGCGCGCCATGGTTCCTGTTCCAAATATTGGTTGTTTCTAGCAACAACTTCGGCCGATGCCACAGAATCTATTTTTGGGTGTACACCCGATGTTCAATTTATTCGGATAATTCTCCCTCCCCCTTTCTGAAATATCACCTGTCTCAGGTGAGCACAGAATGCGGGAAAGGAGATATTATTCATGGGTGAACTCCAGGGTCGAGCACGGGGCCTTTCCACGAAGTTCGGGGATATCCGGCAGGAATGAAAATAAAAGCCAGTGGTTGCTCGCAATATTTTCCTCGCCTTCCTGCAAGTCAGCAAAGCACCCCACTACTCTCATTTTCATCGCTCTCTCTCAATATGACTTCTATCGAATTCGATTCCTGCAAAACTGGATTTTTATCCACCCTCGAGCTTTCTCGGAACCTTGAGAAGTTCGGCTCCCCTGCCGAGAAACGGCTCGAACAACTCGCAGATTTATCCACTGCAGCAGTTTGTGTCTTTTCTGTCTTTGTAACTCTCCTTCTGATGCGCCGGTGCTGTTTTACAGTCGCGCCTCACCCCTTTCTCAGCCCAAGTTCTCCTTCCAGAGCATTCTGACCTCTCAGAGGGGATGTTCGTCGGACGTGACTTTTACAACCAGCTCGTGAATCCCGACAAGGTTCCGGGTGTCAAGTTCCCTCAGGGGTACGAGGTATTCCGGACCTTCACTCGACAGATCCTTGAGAAGCGTGAGGAGAAGAAGGCCAAGCTTGCACCTCCTGCTCCCAGCAAGTCCAAGGCTGTGAGTGGCCTCTTCTTGCTTCTCCCTCATTCATTCATTTTGTGATTGACCGCACATTTATTTTTAGAAAACCCGCTCACAGTCCAAAACGAAGGACGCTGCTGCTGAAGACAGCGACTCCGAGTCTGTTATTGTGACTACCGGGCCCGGGAATCGTGCTAACGACGCAGCATCTGATCAGGTGCGAAGTTAATTCTCATTCGGGTTCTCCGGTTACCGCCGCCAATATTATTATTGAACAAGTGTTATCCCGGGTTTCTCAGATGCTTGTCGACGAGGACGCTGCTGCCAAGGCCAGCGCTCTCCATTTCAAAAAGAAGTCTGCCGCTTCCGAGACTAGTGTACGTTCACGGTTGCTTTTTGTGGGCCTTTCTCTTACTGTCCTCGTAGTCCTCCACGGGCAAGAGCAAGAAGGGCTCGGCGAAGCGAGCACGTACAGACAGCAACCCCTTTCATGAGGAGGCATTTTTGACTGCCTGTGCGTGTGATTTGTCCTCACTGCATCACCGATTATCTGATCTTCATTCAATAGCTGCAGCTGCTTTCTACACCAGCCATGCCGCCGTTCCAGTCCTCATAGACGAGGTCACTAGCATTGCGCAGCAGGATTCCGACTTCCTGGAAAATCGGCTCGCAATGAACAAGCGCCTCTACTATATCAACGTAGAGCTCTCGTGCCTCCTCGAGCAGTTCCGCAGCGGTCTTCTGCGTCGCAATCAGCTCATTGAGGAAGGTCAATTCCTCATGCAGACCATACAGAAGCTGGAGGGCAATTCCAGCGCCGGCTTGGACAGCATGGTGCCTTGAACGTACTGTGTTCGTCGTTCACAAGTCACTCAGGTACAATTGACATACTGGTTTCTCGTATTCGGACGCCGTTCACTCCTTTCAGCTGGTATTCTCTGTTATCGATTCCTTCCTGTCTCTTTAGCTAGACTACATCCACTCGTTAATTTAACCAATGGTTCAGCTGCTATTTTCTCTGGCCTCGATGAGTTCTCACATAAGCTCGTGTTCGAGGTATTTTTGGAGCATCAGAATCCTCTGACTCGGAATTTTCGTCCTCTGAATTGTCATTAAATTCCTCGGCTTCCCCTGAGTCAGATTCTGCACCCTCAGACCTGAGTCGAACATTTTCAAACTGAAAATCACGGCCTTGGTACTCATCTGGCTCTTCCTCATTGACCAACATTTCAAGGGTCTCCGCTGATAAATCAATCAAGTCATGAATATTATCAGGGAGGGCTATTTTCCGACGAGCTTCATAAGGTACAACTCGGAATTGTGCCACCTTGTTCTGAAACATCGATCCATCCATCTCTGCAACCAAATAGCTGCCTCCTTTGGTTCGCCGGAT